CCACTAAATTACAGGCTCCTGACCTGGGACAGGCAAATTAAGAATATGGTAAGGGTGATATAAAAACGAAGATGTGGTATGATTGCAAATGAGACAACTCTCCACAAGAGACCATATTACACAGAAATCAACAGCTATAAGTCACCGTACGGCCTTCGACAATAAGCAAAGCCTACACCGCATAGTCAGCTATAAAAGGCCCCGAAATCACAAATGTAAAACAATTCAAACGAGAAAACTAACGGCCGAATTAATGTACAAAAAATGAACGAAACACAAATATGTATAACACAGCAACAAACGGCAACTACTGAATTACAGGCTCCTGACTTGGGTCAAGCACATACATACAAAATGTGGCAGGGTTAAACATGTTAGCGGGATCCCAATCCTCCCCCTTACCTTGGACAGTGGTGTAACAGTACAATAAAAGAACAACCTGCACTAATCAGTTGCAATTAGTCAAAAGATCGGTACGAGACACACACAAAAAAAAAAACTAACATTAAGACAATAGACACAAAGCACCGACATTATAGAGTATTTTCAATTACTCGATGGAAGTTTGCTCAAAGATAATAACAACTAGTACTGAAATAAATCCTGTTCTCCCAGAATGAAGTATCAATCAGTACACAACGCGCGGCAAAGGATTTATAAAAAAAGAAAACAGTCTGAGAAACGTCTGGTTTACGTTGTATATATATATAAGAAGATGTGGTATGAGTGCCAATGAGACAACTCTCCATCCAAGTCATAATTTGTAAACCATTATAGGTCAAAGTACGATTTTCAACACGGAGCCTTGGCTCACACCGAACAGCAAGCTATAAAGGGCCCCCCAAAATGACTAGACTAGTGTAAAACCATTCAAACGGGAAAACCAACGGTGCCGTCTAATCTATAAAAAAAACAACGATATACTTGCATTTAGATCCATATACAATGAAAGTTTTTGAAAAGTTGTGGTCCGAACGTTTTGACCATCGAAATTTTGCAATAGAAATAATAGTGAGGACCAGAAGATTTTAACAGCCAGTGCAGGACTCGCGCGAACGCCAGATTTAGTTTGAGGGGCGATATTCTGACGCGTTTTTAATTCTTGGTCACTTATGTTTAGAAAGAAAGGTGAGAAATCCAAACAATTACCGACCAATCACAAACGTTGTTGCAAATTTGACCTTATGACGTCAAAGAATTTCCCATAATGCGATTATTGCATATAGATAAAAAACTTCTATACCAATTGAATAAAAAATATTGCATTAAAATGACAAGTTATACCAATTGAATAAAAAATATTGCATTTGAATGACAAATTATACCATTTGAATAAAAAATATTGCATTTAAATGAAAAAATATACCATTCAAATGAAAAAAATATACCATTCAAATAAAAAATATTGCATTTAAATGAAGAAATATATCAACTAAATAAAAAATATTGCATTTAAATGAAAAATATCAAATGTTTGCAACCAATAACATGCCATATTCCAATTGGTTTTGTGTTATTGAATGTTGCGTAACCTTACGTTGAGTTTCGTTTATTTACGTGTCGAAATGCGTTCGATTTATCTCCCTTATCCATTTAAAAAGAACAATGTTTTTGATAGTCGTTGTTCAAAAAAAAAAAATCTGCGCATTTGGTTTGCATTTGCCTGAGTGATTGTTGGATGTTTTTTTTTAATAAAACGTTCAGTGGCAATTATTCCATGCATTTCACGACGATATTAACATTTGATAAAGGATTGAAAAGTGATTGAGAGGACACATTGTGTCCTCAACTTTAATATTTAAATCTCCAACTCTGAACAAAACATCTCTAGCGCTCGACTTTCTGAGATCTACAGCGCTAGACGTTACACACCAGCGCGCTGGACTTTAAAAACCACAACACTATATCTGCGTGAGACCAGCAAGATCTCCAAGGACGCCACATTTTACATCGAATAAGATCTATATTTGTTAACGTTTTCAAATGAAATAACTTGAATTGAAAATTTCCCGACTATGTGAAGATTTCTTATATTTCTAAATGGCTTCAATTATTACATACAAAACGAAAAATTTATTTAACTTTTTTTGTAAAAACAATATTCATGTATTTTTATATTTTTTCCAAGGAAACGTTTTTTTTTTTTTTTTGTTTGCAAAGTTTACTTGTATGTGTTTATAACCATCACCAATCAGTCCTAATTATTAAAGATCAAACGTTGTAATCAAAATGATGATTGGTATTGAATATGATCATCGGTCATGCATGACGTATCCCAAATAACTTCTTTAATGTTGGTTTGATTTTATCAAAACCAAAATTATAAGATCAAATATTAAATTATCTATCGAATGTATACCCTCAACGCTCACTGAAACATATATACATGTCCTGAGTGACTTTTTATGTCCTGTCTGCACTCAGGAGGTCCTGAACGGTTTTTAGACGTACCGTAATTTACAGGCATATATTTGAAGCTGTTCTTAATTATGTACATTATCCATAGGTATACATGTATCAGACAAAAAGACTTTCCAATGAACTTAGTTCTAGTTATCTTAGTTCCTAGTCACAGGCACTTGTCTCAGAAAAAAAATGTCCTACTATACTTTTAATGTTATATTAAGCAGGACTTTCTATACTAAGTTAGTATAGAAAGTCCCTGTATTAAGGTTTATAGGAAACAAAATTCTGAGACAAGTGCCTGTGGTCCTAGTGTGAAATAAATCCACTGGGAATTGGCCTTTTTAAACACATCTATATATACGTTTTCTCAATGGTTTGTACATGTAAAGTGAAATTATGTTTACTCAATGCGTAGTTACATAAGTTTATTTGCTACTTTTTTCTTCTTTATTTTATATAAATGATTTTTTTTTTTTAATTTTAACATTTTTTTCTTCGAAAGAATTGTAGTGTTGCAATAGGGAATGGACACAGATACTTAACTACATTTAACGAAAAAAAATTTGTGTAATGTCATTAATCTGTATTACACATAGACAGGATGTTCTCTAGAAAACTATGATATTTCTAATACGTTATACACACCCCAGGGTACACGCACTGTCGTAATGGAAAATTACTGCATGCTTTAATTACCGGTAATCAGCCATGCAACAAATCAGTTGACTGACCATGTCATTACAGTTTAAAAAGTTTTTCCTCAGATCAAAACGGAATATTCATTTTAACTTTAAAATTTAAAACTTTAAAAAATAAACCTTGATATAATTATGACGTTAAAGAATTTAACAATCTAATAATCGGATTTTCCCAAAGATTAAGATACAATTATATTTATTATTCTGGGACTGACAGATATATCACAGGCACTTGTATCAGAATTTTTTTCCTATATACTTTTATAAAAGTATATATGATTTTTTTTCTGAGACATGTGCCTGTGAGATATATACATGCATAAGTCCCAGACATATATAATTGTAAATCAAAATGATTTACATAATTACTGGGAAATAATATAATGTTTCAGTTATGTTGATGTCACAAATACACATGAATTATTTGATGATGCATGCTGGAATTTCTTATCTAAATGCATGACGGTGGCCACAGACATATATATATATATATCCATTTACTAATTCTATAATTTCTTGAGAAAAAAAATCAGGAGGGAAGTCAGAGGGAAGTGAAACAAATATTTTAAGCTTTTATTAAAAATTGTTGGGAAAACAATAAAATACGACACTGAGTTTTGAAAAAAAAGTTTATGATTGGTCTTAATTTTTTTTTTTTAATAAAGATAGAAACAATTTTTTGTCCCGAGAAAAAAAAACAATGCCCCCTTTTTAGCCAAACCGACACACGCCGATGAATGAAGAATTCCAAGTAGGGTCACAAGGTCACATTTTAAAACTTTTTTAGTCGCCAAGTCTCAAAAAGCAATTTTGACTGGCATTGTTTTTAGTAGAATTATGTTTTTGCAGGTCAGGTTGCAAAGTGGCAGGTCGCGATCGGATTTGACAATGTCAAGTTGACAACGGTCCTAAAAAATATCCGAAAAAACGTTGAATCAAACGATATGAATCTACGCAGTTTTATATTATAAGACTGACACACACCAGTGTGCTAACTGTGCTGGGTGAGGTGCTGTAACTTGATATACATGTATCATTAAGTTACAGTACTGTTAGGATTTGCCTGCCTTTTTACAGGGTCTTTCTATACTAACTGTTAGTATAGACTGCCCCTGGCTTGAAAGTATGGTTCTCTGCTCACCAACGGGTGCGTGATTAGCAATTTAAATATCTTGTAGCAGTAAAATACCTCCGAGGGTGGGGGGGGGGGGGGGGGGGGGGGGGGGGGGGGGGGGGGGGGAGGGGGCACTTCAATACTTAATTGATAGGGGTGTCGCTGGGGTTCTGTTACCCCACCCTATTCATATAATTTAGATCTTAAAAATGTATTATACCTTTTCATATACTGCGAGGGTAAAATTGTAACCTTTTCCCATATTGGTTGGTTTTTCGTGGGGTGTGTTGGAAAAGTGGAATATTTAAGGCTAAGATTCTGTATGTAATGTTTACTTACGACGAGACTTTCGGCTGTGAAAAAATGACAGGGCTTTTCATATACAAGTAATTGGAACTTTATCGACCTTATCATATATTTCTGATAGTTTTCCCCACATATTCCCATATTTTCAAGCTGGAAAAAGTTACCTATTCCAGCGGCACGTCATATCACCTTGTATATAGGAAGTGCCCCCATCCCCCCCCCCCCCCCCCCCCCCCCCCCCCCCCCCGAGTACAATACACAAATGTATAATACCTTAATTCAGGAGCACAGTCTGTCTTTACCGTAAATAACTTCGAGATTAATATGTAAGTTTACTTTGCTAATCGATGTTCCTGTAATTCAGATTTAAATTTATTTGTGAGACCCGCGTCACTATTTATATTCACTCAAAGAAAGGGGTTCTCCGTTACTGGGAAAATCCAAAGACGTATTGTGTTAGTTATACCGTCCTTGGAAAATCTTATCTGATTCAGGATCAATTTATCGGTTACACTCCCCTATCACCAGTGATTCTTTGTGAACTGACATTCTGAAAAAGGTATACTGTTGACTATCAATTTGCATGATTAGTTACAGATGTCGACTCGGACTACTGCAGAAGACAATAATTCAGTTCACTGATTTAGATTGAATAGTGGTTCGGTTAATCCCCTCTTCCCCAAACAAGTAAGAATTAGGTTACATCTTTTGGTAGTCCAAATAATTATGACGTCTAGCAAGGCTATTTTATTTTTGTTATGCCCCCGCCGTAGCGGTGGGGGCATTAAGTTTTACCCTTGTCCGTCTGTACGTACATACGTCCGTACGTCCCAAAATTGGTTTCCGTTCTCTAACTTGAGTTTGCCTCAACCTGAGACTACTATAACTTATAGTAGTCTCAGCCTCAACCAAATGTTAAAGTAAAAACTTATACACAATGCTTATTACCACAAAACACAGATCAAGTTTGAATTTTGGTGGCGTCACTTTAACCGTTCTAGAGTTATGCCCCTTTATAAATGGAAAAATTGCAAAATTTTTAGTTTCTGTTCTCTAACTTAAGTTTGCCTCAACCAAATGTTATAAAACCTATACACAATGCTTATTACCACAAAACACAGATCAAGTTTGAATTTTGGTGGCGTCACTTTAACCCGTTCTAGAGTCATGCCCCTTTATAAATGGAAAAATTGCAAAAATTTTATTTTCTTCTAAATATCAAGTAATTTTTAAAATTGGAATTATCTCCCTTTGTCCATTATTATAGTTGAATCAACTACAATCAATGCTTTATACAATGCAATGTTTAATTTTGACTTCCACTGATAAAACACAGATCAAGTTGAATTTGGGTAGTGTCACTTTAACCATTATTGAGTTATGCCCCTTTATAAATTGAACGATTGCAAATTTTTAGTTTCCATTCTGTAACTTAAGTTTGCCTCAACCAATCATTATGAAACCTATACCACATATTCATTACCACAAAACAAAGATCAAGTACAAAATTATTGTTTCCGTTTTCTAACTTTAGTTTGCCTCAACCAAATGTTATGAAACTTATACACAATGCTTATTACTACATAATACAGATTAAGTACGAAATTAGGTGGCGACAAATTACCATTCTTGAGTTATGTCCCTTTATAAACATAAAAATTGCTGAATTTTTCGTTTCTGTTCTCTAACTTTAGTTTGTCTCAACCAAATGTTACAAAACTTATACACAACCGTTCTAGAGTTATGCGTGTTTACAAATAGAAAAATTGCTGAATTTTTAGTTTCTGTTCTCTTCTTAAGTTAGCCTCAACCAAATGTTATGAGACTTACACACAATGCTTATTACCACAAAACTCAGATCAAGTTCAAATTTGGGTAGCGTCACTTTTTACCGTTCTTCAGTTATGTCCCTTTATAATTTTTCTATCTATCTATCTTCATCTTTCCGCACTCAGTCACAACTTTGACTATTAGGTGCCCAGAAAAAAGTTAAAATAGCTTGCAAGACGTCATAATTATTTGGACTAATCTTTTGGCAAATATGGTCGTACCACAGGGGTTTGTTACAATTTGCCGGGTTTTCTATCCTTACGAACCCTGAAAAACTTACCAGGCCAGGTGATAAAAAATCTGTCTCCCCTTTTTATCCCACCAGAAAATCAAAAGGTTGTCTCCTTACACATACATGACAAAAACATATACAAATATGGTATCATTGCCAATGTGACGGCTCTTCAACAGAAACTTAAACCGTAGAAGTTAACAACTATATAGGTCACCGTACAGATTTCAACAATGGACTAAAAAGCCAAACTGCGTAATAAGCTACAAAAGGCTAAAATAGATAGACAATATCTGACAAGGGTAGAAATGTTCAGAATGTTGAAAAAAAAAATCTACTGTCCATTTGCATCAAAACTAGCAGCTGACTCAAAGGAGTTGTTGCCTCAAATACAGATTTTAACCATTTTTTTTTTCTTCATATTTCTTGAATTTGCCTTTTTATCTCGAAAACTGTAATAATTAAAGAGAAACTTAAATCTTATTAAAAAGTTATTGCTTTTCAATGATGATTTTGATCCAGTTTTTGCAAAAACTTGGAAACTTTAAATCATTGGTAAACTCCTTATATTATACTGCCTGGTCTCGTGGTAGCGTGTTCACCTCACGTGCAGAAGGTTGTTTATTTTGAACCCAATCGGGTAAAACCAAAGACTTATAAGTTGGTATTTGCTGCTTCTCCCCTAAGCACGCAGTATTATTAAGGAGTAAGAGCAAATACTGGTTTGTTCAGAGTCAGAATAATGTGTCAAGGTAAGGTGACATGTCTCTCTGAGAACTAGTGTAAGAGATAAATTGTCTGGTCAGACAAATATAACTAGTATAAAAAGTCCATGGATACAGAATTTACTAGTATATTTAGTCCGATGTCAGTAATTTATGTCCCCAGACTAATTTTCCTAGTCCATGACATCACTATTCCTAGGTAATAACATGAATAAGGCCCCTATATTTGGTGAATGGAATGATTGTGTGATGCACAGTCTGTCTGGCATGTTTTATATGACCTTGACCTCATTTTCATGGTTCATTGGTCAATGAAAAGTTTGCATTGTTTTGTCAGTTTATAATATGCTTTAAGCAACAGGTAAATTATATTTGGCAAATGTAATGATTGTAAGGTGTGCATGTCTGTCTTGCAGATTCATATAACCATGATCGCATTTTATGGTTCTTTGGTCAATGCTAAGTTTTCTTAGTTTTTTATACGGTCATATATTGGTATGACGTTGGCGTTGTCGTCGTCCGAAGACACATTGGTTTTCGCACTCTAACTTTAGTTTAAGTGAATGGATCTCTATGAAATTTTACCATAAGGATTGATTTTGGGGGTTATGGTACCAACAGTTAAGGAATTAGGGGCCAAAAAGGGGAAAAAAATAAGCATTTTTGTAACTTCCAGACATAACTTGTGAGTTAGTGTATGGATCTCTCTGACATTGTACCACAAGGTTCCATATCACACAGGGAATGCTGGGATTGATTTTGGGGGTAATTGCCTCAAAATATTAGGAATTAGGGGCCAAAAAAGGGGCAAAAAACAAGCATTTTTCTAGTTTCATGACAATAACTTGTGTGTAAGTGTATGGATCTTTCTGAAATTGTACTACAAGGTTCCATATCATAAAGGGAAAGCTGGAATTGAGTTTGGGGGTAATTGCCCAAAACGTTTAGGAAAAAGGGGCCAAAAATAAGCATTTTTCTAGTTTCCAGACAATAACTTATGTTCAAGTGTAAGGATCTCTCTGAAATTGTACTGCAAGGTACCATACCACAAAGGGAAGGCTGGGATTGATTTTGGGGGCAATTGCTTTAAAATTTTAGGAATTAGGGGCCAAAAAAGGGGTAAAAAACAAGAATTTTTCTAGTTTCATGACAATAACTTGTGTGTAAGTGTATGGATCTTTCTGAAATTGTACTACAAGGTTCCATTTAAACAAAGGGAAAGCTGGAATTGAGTTTGGGGGTAATTGCTCAAAATGTTTAGCAAAAAGGGGCCAAAAATAAGCATTTTTCTAGTTTCCAGACAATAACTTGTGTTCAAGTGTATGGATCTCTCTGAAGTTGTACTGCAAGGTACCATACCACAAAGGGAAGGCTGGGATTGATTTTGGGGGTAATTGCCTCAAAATTTTAGGAATAAGGGGCCAAAAAGGGACAAAAAAACAAGCATTTTTCTAGTTTCAGGACAATAACTTGTGTGTAAGTGTATGGATCTTTATGAAATTGTACTACAAGGTTCCATATCACAAAGGGAAAGCTGGGTTTGAGTTTGGGGGTAATTGCCCTAAACGTTTAGGAATTTGGGGCCAAAAAGGGGCCAAAAAACCCAGCATTTTTCTAGTTTCCAGACAATAATTTGTGCATAAGTGTATGGATCTCTCTGAAATTGTACTGCAAGGTACCATACCACAAAGGGAAGGCTGGGATTGAGTTTGGGGTGATGAATCATAAGGGGGTTCAAAAAATTGGGGGGTATTTGTTTTTCCCTTTTTTTCCTTTTTTTTTCTTTAAAATTTTCCATTTTAAATTGGTTATTTCTGATTAATATATAAGCAAATAATAATGATATGGTTTGAATAGGTAAATTAAAAATTTTTAAGTTCTTAGACCACATTCATTCTGTGTCAGAAACCTATGCTGTGTCAAATATTTAATCACAATCCAAATTCAGTGCTGTATCAAGCTTGAATGTTGTGTCCATACTTGCCCCAACTGTTCAGGGTTCGACCTCTGCGGTTGTATCAAGCTGTGCCCAGCGGAGCATTTTATTCATTTTATCAGATATTATAAGCATATGTCTACTTGTTGGTATATGGAATGACTACAAGGTGTCATATAAAAATAAGAAGATGTCTGTTTGCCAAGTTTAATATTTCTGTGACCTCATTTTCATAGAATATTGATAATATCAAGCAAAAATGATGAGCAAGAGATAAGCTGCGTATTTGCGTGATCACGCAATACAAATAATTAAAAACCCAATGCAATTGCCCATTGCAGGGTTCAATAACCCAATTAATTCAAAGGAAAACCCAATTATATGCCAAAACCATGAGTTCTTAACGCTTTTATTCGCTATCGTTTGCGTTTTTTACCCTTATCTGATTACAGTCGTCGCGTAAATCTATTTTTATAATTGGAAATGTCCTTTCGTTCTTAAAATTGAGCCCTGCATCAAGTAGCTGTAATGGGTCCCTGTTGGAATTTTCCGTTGCTCAAAAGGTACACGTGTTTATGAAAACATTTCGATCTTCTCGAAGTTTATCCAATTAGCGTGTGACATGCTGTCATATTTTTTCGAATTGCTCGGGATTTGTCAAAACATACATGAATTAAAACGAAAGTAAATGTCCGATAAAAATATTGAATAGAAGCATGTTTTCGGCTTCTTTTTGATAGCTGAGGGAAAGTTATGATGATAACAAGACTCAGCTAGTGACTTTAGGGAGCGTCCATTGAACGCACGGGCGTGTTTGCGTACCTTAACGAGAACATTGCTATAGAACGATAAACACTGGGTTTTGTCAAAAACGAAATCAGTTGGAAAAATTGAAAGGCCAAATCAATTATGACATGATATGAAGTTGGAAAGCATCGGAAAGCAAAAGTTCTGATAAGGGACAACTTAACCCATATTTATGTAAATTGAATTAAACAAAAACAGTTTATATATTATTTTTTTTCATTTTAGTTGATGAATGAATACACATATCCGTTTTTTTCGTCAAATTATGCAGCTTGACTCTTTCTTTGTTTTGATCTAATTGTTCTGGATGCTTAAGATAGTTGTCTTATTGGCAAGTGCAGTATAACATTGTCATTTATTTACTTGATGTTGCAGAATTATTTGTAAATTTAAGTTGAATGTGGTCTCCATCATTAAACCACCCTATAAATCTCAAGGTTTTAGGGTATATCTTAAATCTGGGAACAACTTTTTATTTTTATTAAAAAGTAGATCTGGCAAATAGGTGAAAGGACTGGCAAAAATTTCTTACAGCACCTAAATTTCACATATATTACATAAAAATCTAAACACTTAGCCACACCTACCCCAACTATAAACTGTAGGGTGATCATATGGGATCTAGAAAGGCAATTAGTTACTGTCCAACTAGTGACACCAGCTGCAGTTTACATAAGTTTTGAGAAAATACAAAACTGACAGAACGTTTAAAACGGGACACAAATTAAACGTACAATTGCTCGTCAGTGAATAAACCAAATAAAACAGCTAAGCACATATACAAAGAAAGAAACACATTTAAGATGGAAACACATCTGGGGTTGATATAATGTGATTATAACATGCCTAAATTTTCAATATTGTGTTGATGAAAAAACCCAATACATTAAGGGGCTTGGTGGTGAAAAACCCAATTTGATATTTGCTTGAGGGGTGAATTGGAAGTGATAATGCAATTAAAAAACTTTATCACCCAATTACATAAAAAAATGGTGGGTAAAAACCCCAATTTGTGAATTCTTATCTGGAGCTCTGAAGACAAGATACAAATGATCCAAAATTGTCAGTTGCCTACTCATTATGTAATAGTAGTTATTGTCATTAAATGATAATGTTTACCCTTTTATGTGTAGGGCAAGAACATTAAAGATAAAGGGAAACTATAAACAAAAGAAATTATCAACAAAAATAGATTTACAGACGTCAACAAAGCCTAAATGGTAAGTCCACTTCTATAAAAGTTATTGCCCTTGAATAATGATTATTATGAAAATAAGATGTGGTATGATAAATGAGAAAACTATCCACCAGAGTTCAATTAAGTGGATGTAAGCAATGCAATTACTTATTAGAGGCCAATGATGACCTGTAAATAATGACAGGCAAAATATGGCAGGGTTGATATAAAAATAAGAAGCGGTACGATTGCCAATGAGACTTTTCTCCAATAGAGATCAAATGACATTAAATTTAACAAAATTAGTTCACTGTACAGCCTTCGACAATGAGCAAACCCTATACTGCATAGTAATCCATAAAAGGCCATGAAATAACAAATGTAAAACAATTCAATAAGGGCATGGCGTCATTTAAAAAGGGCATGGTGTCTATCCATGCTAAACATGCTTGGGGGAAACACCTTAAAGGTGAAAGCTAAGTGCCTGATTTTTGCACAAAACAATAAACAAAAAACAAATATGATATATAGCAACAATTGACAACCACTGAATAATAGACCCCTGACTTGGGACAGACACTTACAAAATGTGGCATGGTTTAACATGTTTGCTGGCGCCAAATCTTCTAATTAAGGACAGTGGTGTAAGTGTCAGTTCAATATAAAAACTATAAAATCAGTTGAAAAGGGTTTTTTTCTGCTCTTGGGTCAGGTTATTTAAGGAATGACTATAATATTTTTTCTGTCTATGAAGAAATAACATCAAAAATGTGGTGCACACTGAATAACCCGTGTAGCGGGTTATTTTAAAGTGTGCACCACATTTTTTATGTTATTTCGAATAGACAGAAAAAATATTACAGTCATTTCTTATAATTTAATTCTAAATTCCATTTTAAACCGGAGTAAACCATGAAAAAACGTTGATGACGTCACGGTCACATGACAAAATTATGTCTATGAGCTGATAAACAAAACCATGTCAGCCAATCAGAAGACGCGTTACATCCAAAATTAAATTATTTTGATACATTCCCGTTTTCATTCTCAATTTTATTAACTCATTAGAATGCAACAAAGCAGAAAAACAGCTACCAAAAACACAGACCGGATGTGGCTGGAAATTTATTCTTTCCCTTTAACAAAAAAGACTCAACATACAGATCTATTAGTACTCACAGTTACTGACAGCTAATTCAAAGCAAATATCAACTAATAAAATAAACATTTAGTGAGCACCCAACCCACCCCTAACCTGGGATAGTGGTTTTAATAACAGCACAACATTTGAACAAACTGTAAACATTTGTTGCAATTGGCTTAACTCGAAAGACTGCAACAAGGCACAAAAAACAACTAATATGAAAACCATAGACACAAAGCACTGAAATAAGAGTTCTTACAATTTTAAATATTCAAATGAAATTTTTATCAAAATGTACATAAACATGATAAAATAGCCATTTTATTGCTGTATTTCTCTTCATTTATAATTTTTGAGTTTTGTGTATTTGTAGGTCAGACATCTTGGTTTTCATGATCATCATTCAACAGGTCAATACTGAACAGCAAACTTAAAGTTGATATTTTTCTACATAGTGTGACTTTTTTATTAATTTGAAATGGAATGTGTTTTTTTCCTACATAAGAAAGAGGAAATTTCAACATAATTACTATAAACAAAAAGGAGTCATATCATCATGATCATAGATGCTCAAGAACCTAATCATGTAAATGCAACAACGTAATTATCAATTGAAAGAAGGGAGGAATGAAAAAATATATTAGTATTTTGTTGTCCAAATGAACTTGCTTTGTCCACTCATTTAAATCGCTCCATCCAATCAAGAAATGTACGGAGGAAGATTTTTGAAGAACAGATTGCATAAATGTTTTGTCTTAGAATTGTAGGAATATTCTAGTGGATGAAATAATTTATTTACTTGACTCTTATATAGTGGACTGAATAATTGTTCATAGCAAGCTGAAACAAGAAAACTAAAACTTAACAGGAAAAGTGTTTATTTTATAAATTTACAAATATAAATGTAATATTATGAACACCACAAAGGAATAAGATTCAAATCATTTGCATATTCATGTATTGCAATGGAACTATAACAAAGAAAACTTTACCTCATGAAAAGAGTAAACTATTAACTGTGCTTTGTCAATTTATTCAGTCAGAATATGAAATATTTTTTTCAGTTCTATTTTTCATAATAAAACAAAGAAGACAAAGATTTCAAATCAATATTTTTTTCTTTTATTAAGACGTCATCATTTTATTTCAGTTAAAGGATTTTATTTTTTGACTTCAAATATTATTATATTTCCAAAATAATAATAATCTTTATTGTCATATAAACAAATTAAAAACATGTTTGTGACAAAATGAAAAAAAACCAAAATACACTCATATATATATTATAAACTTTTTACTACCAAACAGAATTCATTGTAACATACACATTACTGTATATTTATAATTTGAATTCCATAGGATTTTATTTTGTCCCATGGGATAATTATAGTCCCATGGGATTTTTTTTGTCCCATGGGACAACAAATATCCCATGGGACTACAATTATCCCATGGGACCCAAAAAAATCCCATGGGATTTAACCAAAATCCCATGGGATAATGGTCAATCCCATGGGATTTGCCTTATCCCATGGGATATTGAAAATCCCATGTTTTTCTAAATCAAATTACAAAATATTTATAATAATAACAGCAGAAAAGCAATGAAATTATTGAATCCCATGTAATTCCGCACATTTTGGTTATTTACACGACACTGTAGGTCTAAGGAGAGGCGGCGGCGGATTTGCAAATGAGTGTTTTGCAAATTAAAAGTGTCCAGTGTTACTGTATTATAGAGATGTTTTGCGTGTATTTATAGGCTACACAGACGAATATATCAGCAGTGCATATGGCCTTAGCTAGTTCTTATAGTTCAAACAAGGTAGACTAATCTTTTCCTATACTTATTTGTAAACAGATACACAAATAATAAAGATTGAATTTTGAAAGTCACACAGAAATGAAATTTGGTCACTTCATAAACAAAAGTGGCAAAAAAGGCCCAACACAAAAACTCGTTAACCATAACCCATTTTTCATATATTCTGATTAATGTTAATACATGTATAAGTGTAAAGCAATTTCGATATATATATATATTGAATAAAATTTGTAAGGGTTCCGTGGAACCCAGTGTCTCGCCTACTTTTGCTGTTAATCGCAGACTCAACAAAAATGAGATGAGGAAAAAATTTAATAAAAATATTCCTCTCGATAAATTCTTTTATTGTAAAAAGCTTCTGTCCAAGTTCGGTAAAATTCCAGGATAGTTTATGAATCTAATAAATGTTTTAAAAAAAATAACTGCAGCTAGACTGTATGTAATGTTAACTCGAAGAAAAAGTAAGTCCATTTATAAGTTAAATATGGATAAACAAGTACAAAATTTTAATAAAAAATTCCTTCTAGATACTAGCTTTTGATCCTTAACAAACTTCTGTCCATGTTTGGTACAAATCCAGGATAGTTTAAGAAAGTTATTAAAATTTTAAAAACTTTAACCACAGAGTGATTGTAATGTTTCCTGGCAGAAAAATTAAGTCCGTTTATAAGTAAAATACGGAAAAACAGGAATTTTTTTTTTTAAATTTACTTCTGGATACTATCTTATGATCCTAAACAAACTTCTGTCCAAGTTTGGTAGAAATCCAGGATAGTTTGAGAAAGTTATTAAAATTTTAAAAACTTTAACCACAGACCACAGAGTGAATGTAATGTTTCCTGGCAGAAAAACTAAGTCCATTTATAAGGAAAATACGGAAAAACAGGATTTTTTTTAATTTACCTCTGGATACTATCTTATGATCATAAACAAGCTTCTGTCCAAGTTTGGTAGAAATCCTGGATAGTTTGAGAAAGTTATTAAAATTTTAAAAACTTTAACCACAGAGTGAATGTAATGTTTCCTGGCAGAAAAACTTAAGTCCATTTATAAGTAAAATACGGAAAAACAGGAAAATTTTTTTTTACAAAATTTACTTCTGGATACTATCTTATGATCATAAACAAGCTTCTGTCCAAGTTTGGTAGAAATCCAGGACAGTTTAAAAAAGTTATCAAAATTTCAAAAACTTTAACCGCAGAGTGAATATTTGTGGACGCCGCCGCCGCCGGCGGAATGTAGGATCGCTATGTCTCGCTTTTTCGACAAACGTCGAAGGCTTGACAAAAAACGGATTTAGAGAAAAAATGTCGTTTAAGACAGTTTGATTTCTTCATTTATCTCCACATTTATTCGATAGTATTCAATAATAAATATTAGGAACCACTCCTAACAGCAAGAAAAGGCTGCATTTTTTATGCATCTTCGATATATATGTCGTTAAAACCGCTATTTATTTATGATTTTAAATGTTGGTTTTTTTGGGGGGGATCAGTTATGTCGTAAGTAATAGAGTTGTGTGTGTTCTAATGGAAAGTATGAGTGCTACAGCACCAACAAAACTGATTGTAATATAGTTATAAAAATGAACATTAAAATTTTTTAAATCATACTAATATACTAATATGTGTACGATAATAAAAACATAGACAAAAAGGCTAAGAAAGGCCTTGAAAATAAAACAAAAATCAACAATACATTACAGAATATCTTTTCAAGTGAAACTTTTTTCTCAAATATCTATTTCAGTATTTCCCTTTATTCATTTTCTTGCCAATTTAGGTAGAAAATAGTTCAATAATTATGTAAGTTGAAGAACTGATCTTTTGGATTTTAGAGCTGTGAGGCTTCAAAGTTATCTCAGACCCAAGGATTTTTTTTCTATAGTCTTTCACTCCTAGATTCAATTTACCTCTTTTTTGGCGCAGGACTTTTTACCTTTGATCTGAGCCTAGATAAATTTCAAAAATATTCATTGCCCCTCCAATCTCAACAAAAAAGGACACTTAGTCACTAAGTACACATCAGAAAGAACTCGCATTCACTATAATAATATGTCCACAACTCAAAATGGTTTAAAAGAACCCTGCATGCATATCTTAATGAAAAGAAGTGCACATCCGATAGAACAAAATCATTCAATAAATGAGTGCTCCCTTATCCTGGTTCCCGGTACTACGTTCCAGCTATTAGCTAATAGCCATACGCTGTCACGAGGTATATTGGTATAGGTGTAACATACTGAATATTGCGATCGGGAACCAATCTAGTGCTCCCTCTTTTCTCGTTACGCCAAGTTACGTCAAGTCAAGGCGATTTTCGTCCGTTTGTAAGATGTTGAGAAACCTCTAATGAGTGAACACGTTTTCGTATAAGTATAAACACTGTGAGAAAATTGACATGATATTTGGACTATCAGGGGCGGATCCAGGATTTTCGGTTAGGGGGCGAAAACTTTTTCGCAAATTTATCGAAATATTCTTTATCAAGCTGAGGACAACCCATGCTGTTTTCCTATTTTTTTCGGAAAAGCGTCAATATTCGGAATATGAAATTCTGTGTTTTTCATGAATGGCGCTTTCAAACTAAAATATATCCAAATCTAAGTCATTAAGGTATATATTTCATTTTAACAATAAGGAAATATGGTATGATTGCCAATGAGACAACTATCCCCAAAGGTCAAAGTGGATGTTAGCGTTTTTAAGGACTACCGTACGGCCTTCAACAATGAGAAAACCCCTTTGCATATTTCAAATGTGCGTATCAACATATCAAAATGACAAGGACAAATCAATGTAAGACCTGTTATGTATCATAACATGCTATCAATTTACAGCAATTGTACATGTCATGTAGACACTAAATAATCTATAATGTTTTGACTTCCGTTTGCATCATATTTCCAATTGGAAAACTGTTTGAAAAAAAAACGGTAAATTCTGAACTCTTTTCAAATTTGCTAGGCTTCAAGACCGATGAGTTCTGTATTTCTTGTCTTGCAAACTGCGTCCATGTATTTATCTTGAGCCAATAAAATAAAATGCTGATACTAAATAAGCTATATACCAGCTTACATCATGTGTCACGCAAACAAGTAATTATTCAGTAAACATGGTAAGATCTAGAATTCTTTTTTTTTGAACACTTAATTCCTGCTAGAAAGCTTCCCGGAAAAAAAACTGAGTGTTTTCAATAATTTACACAATGGCTTTGACAATGGTTTTCACTATGGTGTTGCTTACAAGTTATACCTCATCTTTAGCCGAAGAAAAAAGATATTTTGGCAAATTGTGCGATAAATCGTTTATCAACCCGTATACATGCAAGATGATGATGAACAGATTGAAAAAATTGCAGTCTGAACTAGATACATGTAGATTGAGCAATAGTAAGAATGTCTTAATTCAAATTTTCATTCATAAATCATTTTCAAAAGTATTTCAAAAAAGGTATGCTGTACGTTAATAAATCTTTTAAACTTTAAAGTCTTATGTCTTTGATTTACATCATTACAGGGGAATGCCCTAATGGCTGGAAGTTATTCTCAGACCACTGTTATTTGTTCGTTTACACAAAAATTACATGGATGGAAGCTAGGGTAAGCAGTGAATTATACTTCTTCATTCAAGATTAAGATCGGTTTGTAAATTTTGTGTATCAAACAGAAAATTAAACCTGTAAAATTGTCGGAAAGTATTTTATATTACTGTGTATCTGTATATATGGGGCTGTAATAATGGAAAACAAATGATAACTTATTACCAGAACATAGCTTTTTGTTTCAATGATGTTTTGCTGGAAATTTACTCTGAAACTTGGATAGCAGTGTGTGCACGTGGTTAGTTTGAATAAAAAAAACTATCTGAATTATAGCTGCATTCGTATAACGTCCATCGGCAAATATTCGAAGAAAATTCTTAAACTGGCAGGGTAATGCATATCAGTTTGGTTGAATAGGCAAATGCTTTCTTTATATTCAAATGCAGATGAATAAACGGAGATGTGGCGTATACGCCAATGAGCAGCATCCCAATTACAGAAACATAACAAAAAATGAATGTTGAATGTTGAAAATCGAATGTTGAAAACGAATGTTGAATGTTGAAAACGAATGTTGAAAAAAAAAAATTGAAAAAAAAGTTTAACAAAAAAATAATTTTGAATGTTGAATGTTGAATTCGAATGTTGAATATTTGAAATGAATGCTACACAAAAAACAAAAAAAAATTGAATGTTGAATGTTGAATATTGAACCAACTTGACATCCGTAAA